AGAAATTGGAATGGTTTAAAAAAATTCTAAATTTTTGTGTTCACATTGGTTATAGTTTATATATAGTTGTTTTATTTTGAAGTGTGATCGGCCAGCTCTATGCTCTATTTTTAACAGTCGGAGACAAAGCTGTTAATTTCAAAACATCTGAAACAAATTAACCGATAAATACCAAAAATAGTGCGATATGTAAAATTATGTAATGTTGTGTTGTTTGTATAGGTCAACGTACAAGTGTAATCGACTGTTAATCTCTGTATGAGAACTTAGTCCAACTTGGTGCTGTATGTACGTATAGTAGATCTTGTAAGTTCGCAACCATAATCTTACCCAGGCAGGGGTCATATTTGACTTAACAAATTATAAACAATCAAGTGTTTGATATGACAAGTGTTTTAATAGTACTTGTTCTAGTGCTGATTTCATCAAATTCAATGGCTAAACCAAATGCTGAATTTTTTTATATTAACCAAAAAAAAGAAGGTACTGTTTGGTCTTTGTCCAATTCAGTATCAAGTATGGTGTTAAACATGAGAGATCTGTATACTATATATGACATATATTATGGTAAGAAATAAAACTGTACATATTTTCAAGTTTAGGTTATCAATGGTAAGAAATACAAGAATATGGTGATTTCTGGTCTTGAATGCATGTATAATATTCTGTCATAGATGTATTAATTAATAGTTTAATACTAAACTTGTATTACGTACGTATATGTATGACTTGACATGTTTGCGTGTGAAGTCTGAACGTGAACAACTCCCAAGATTAAATAAAAGTTTATAAATCTGGCGACAAATATAATAGAATGAAGTAAACATAAAAGTTACAAACAAACAATCACCAAATGGTCCATACCGTATCAATTGTTCAAAATGATCTAGTCCTTTCTCCGTTTAGGAAAATGAATCGAAATTTTTTTTTTTTTTTTGCAACATTTTGTTTTCATTCATCTTAATTTTCGGGGTTACATTGATTCATATCACAATACATAAAACAATAGAAATCAAAGCAAAAGAAACATCATAATTATACGACAACGAATCAAAAAAAACTTTTTGATGCATCGGTATAAGATTCATGACTAAGCCGGAAAGAGAAAATTTTGTAACTTTGAACGGTGACGTTGAAAGACTACCCATACCTCCAAGTCTCGTCAAGACGAAACTAGTTGCATCTTCATGCCCCATACGGACCACTATACAAGAATACAAGGCGGTTAGGGAATTATTCAGGTTTGATTCCGAAAAAATCTTACTCTCAATGAGATAAGAAATGACGGACGAGTTCTCTCTCACAGGGAGGAAAATACATGATTTGAGAATTTAGAAAACTTTGATCTTAGAAAACTTTGATCTTCTCTCAGAAGAGAAGATATTGGACTAAAAAGTACAAGATTTTTGAGAATCCAGAAAATTTTATAAAAGATATGGGAGTCACATAAACCATCCTTGATAAATCAAGCGTTGTATTAATTCCAGCATAGTGTTAATTAAAACGTGACTTGGGCTTGGAATTCCATGAATAGAAGATGGGGCTGATGGGCTATGAAACACAAGACTCGAAATGGGCCTAGCCCAAACTTTAGGGTGTTCGTGACACAGAGGAAACGACGGTGGGAAGCAGATCAAGCAGCTGTGTGAGCATTCAGCCGGTATTACTGGCGGCGGAGAGTAATCTGAACCTTGTTGGAGCTTCTGAAGGTTCCACAGAACCTGGTTAAGTGCGGTGGTGGTGAATCGAAAGCCGACGGCA